AAGCTTGCCAGAAGATATTTCACATCTGAATATGCAAAGTGAGCCAACCTAGCCTCTCCTAAAATGAGTCGGTGTGAGCACAATTAGCAAGCAGGAGCACTAAACTGGGATGGAGTTTAACTCTCTTGATATCAGTCCATGCAGTGCTGGGTTTTGGATTTGTGGTTAAAACAGTGTTGATATCACAGCAGTGATTTCACTGAACAGTGCTTGAATGGCATCAAGGCTTTCTCTGTTTCTCACTTTGCTGCTGAGCAAGGAGGCTGAGGGTGGGCAAGAGGCTGAAAGGGGACACAGCTGGGACAGATGAGTCAACTGACCAAAGGGATATTCCATACCATGTAACCTCCTATTCAGCAATAAAAGCTGGCATAGGGGAAGAAGAACAAAGAGTGTTTTATTGCTATCACATTGCCCATTGCTCAGAGACTGGATGGGCATTGCTCTGCTGGACAGAGTTGGTGCATGATTTCCACTGCATTCGTTGTGGGTTTTTTATTATGTTGGCTTTTTCCCCCCTCTCTCCTTCACCTGTTATTATACTGACCCATGAGGATTGATTTTCTTTTGGTTTTGTTCTTCATATTCTCTCCCCAGTCCCAGTCTGGGGATGGGGTAGGAGCAAACGAGCAGCTCTGCAGATGTTTGGCTGCTGGCCTGGCTCAACCTGCCATGTAGACTAACAGTGAAATTTGTAAAGTTAGGAAGCTTTTGTAACTTTTAAAGGTCATTTCTTTACTAAATGACAAATGTTTCCTGTCATAAAAATGTACATTGTGTCAAAATCAGAGTGTAAACTAATGAAAATGGGACTAGATGACTCAAAGGCCCTTTGGCCCTTACAGTCCACTGCTTAAATCCAGTGTGTCATGGATGGTTAAAGCCTTCAGGGACCTTCTGTACAAGTCTTCATAAAGAAGTCTGACCTACCTTTTCTAAGTCTAAAATCCACTCAGCTGTTACCTTGCTTCTTACTTCTGCCAGATTTTCTCAGGGTTTCCCAGTCCAGACTGGGGCACACCAAGGCACTATCCCAATGACTCTGCTTGACAAATGTGTCATTACAGTGGTCACTTGGGGATCCCCACCAAAAGAAGACATCTATTGTCAAAAAATCCCTGTCTATGCTACCTAAGAATCAAGGAATGAAAATGTCTCTCACTCTACTCCCATGCCCTATTTTTTTCAAAATAACAGCACACCAACATCTACAAGGATAGTATTGGGAACTGGAGAAGCATTACATGAAATCACTGGTACACAGTTGGACATACCTCCAGCCTATTTCTTGAGCACAAAAACAAATCACCCTCACTCTACTCTCCGTAAAGGGTTAGAATTAGGCATATAAATAAGATGCAAATTCACTGAAATTAATTAACACTATATTTATTCTTAATAATTTTAAACCAAAATGTACCTTAATTGTTCTGCTGCATCATGATGGCTGACATCTCACCATATTCCACTTATTAAGTTAGAACAAAATAAACTATAAAATAATAACTACATAGGTATTAGTTGAGTTGCATAGCACTAACATTTGTTATTGATAATTAATAGTCTGTCAATTCATGAGGGTGTAGTAAAAAATAAGTATTTTCACATTTCATTTTGACTGCAATATGCATACCAACCAAAAAACACTGGACTGCTATGCCAGTAAAGTTAGCCATCTGTTCTCTAAACAGATGAAGTATCTGATGGAAACACTTTTACTACCTAACAATATATTTTGTGGACTATTGCAACAGATTCACCAGTGCTGTACAAAGTGCAAGAATGAGTCAAGAAATACTGACAGCAGTGCTACCCTGCAAAGTGAATGGATTTATGATCAGCCATCCAGACCAGTTAATAATGGGTTTAATCAAGAATATGAAGATATGTCACTAATAAGAAGTTTAAGTGACACTGGAAGGAAAATGATATGAAAAAGAAGGTGCATGCAGTTGTAACCAAGATACGAGCATGTGTGACATGTGCTATTTCTATCAAGGTAGAAAAACCCCATACACACAACTCACTTCATAAGCATGGAATGGTTTTTGCTCATGTATTTATTTCAAGTTAAAGAAGTTTCCAGCTACAAGTGAAATGAGCTTTAGTGTATCTAACTATCATCAAAATACTGCGAAAGCTAAAAGTATTCAAACCTCTTGTAAACGACAACATATCTAACCATATATACTGGGGTTTTTTCCACTTCAAACACAAGGACAGAGTTTGAATTTTGGCTTTACCCAGGTTAAGGCATCTTGTTTGCTTTAAAATTGCAATATTTGCCCACTGTAACAACAGATCGTCAGAGACTAATTCCTCACGTGCTCCCAGTGCACTGTCTGATGTTATTTTTAACTCCTTTTGTATCTCCCACGTTTACAAATCCCAGCAACTCCTCCCACTCTTAGCTATTTAGCCAGCTACACCATCTCATAATGTACATGGGTGCATGCACCTTCCAATAGAATGAAAATACATAATGTGGTTTTAAAACGCAACTTATATGCCTTTTTGAGAAATATTAATCACCACAATAATCTTGCCAGGGAGATAGGTGATGTAGTTTACTGCTCTAGGGCTTATGCTTATTGCCATGTCTAAGATTGTAATAGAAATTATTTGGATTAAAAATATGTCTTTTAAACTTGCCTTAAAGTGCTTAGAATACTTGTGGAATCTGTGTAAATAACAACAATACAACTAAGCTGCTTAGAAAGAGCTTATCATAATCTGCATAACAATGAAGTACTTGAAGAAAAGCAGCCTTGACATAGTTACTTATGTGTGACTTAAAGGAAATGAATACTTGACAAAACATTTGACAAAACCAGAAAGCAAACAGACTTACCTTAAATAAGGTTATGTTTCTAGTGCAAAAACAGTACTTTGATTAGAAAAAAATGCTTTTTCTTTAAACTTTACATTTCATATTTTAAAGGTGATACAGTGGAGGAATTGGGGGAAGGAGGAAATAAAATGGGTGGAATTCACAAAACCTGAATGTGTAAAAAGCCTTAGTTTTTTCACATGAAACACAGACTGACTATCCTTTGGATTTACCTTTTGCAAATATATCCCAAATATGTTAATTGATCACAAAAAACCTCCATTTTTTTTTTTTCGAACAAGATACCATTTTTCACACAAACAGCATGGATTTAAACATAGTTACAGCACCCATTCTGAACACTAGTATTATGAATTAACAATTTCCATTCTCATTCAACTTTTTGCTACATTAAAAAAACCCCACTTTATCACAGTGAACACTTCTACAACTTGTGTATGTATTAATGATTTTACTCTTCCTAAAAAATTCTTACATAATCCTATCATAAACCTATGAATGTCATCTTCTGAAGCACTCCACATTACCTGTGGTGCTTAGGGCTATGTAAACATGATACTCCATATGTTCCTGTGGATGACATTAAAACATGTCAAAAGAAGTCAGATTTTTTCATGGATAAAAGGGCATAGTAAACTGCAACAGTGTTGATGCTCAAAAGCAACATACATCATCAGTAAATGAACTTCACATTTAATAACAGTTTCCTTTAAATGCAACTCTTAAAAAACTGCATCCAGATAAACAAGCTTTGTACAGGCTCACTAAATGGGGACACCATTGCCCAGAAAGGTAACTGATGAGATCCATGTTCTTTCTGATGGCTCATGAGTAGCTCCAAGTGCACAGAACCCTTGAGCGAGAAACAGCTGTTTGAAGATTCCACCAAAGTCTCAGAATAGCACCTTGAGACCTTGACCATAGCAGATCAATATGAAAGAATTTTTAACAGCATTATCTACTATTGCTATTCATCTGAAACTCACCCTCTCTATAAATGAGCATGCAAGTGAGCTAGGTACAGGTGCCTTGGGTGGCACAAAGGTAACTTGCTTCACTTCTACATGCAAAAATGCTGTCCTACAGATCTGGAGGTCATGCAGGCTATCCTGGTTTCACTGTACACAGAACCTCATGCACCTAAAAAAGAGCTGCTGTGCCGAAACACAAGTAAGGTGGCTTTAACACCAGCCTTTTGGGGTTTTATTTCTTTCATTATCAAAAAGACTAATAAAAGAATTCAATCCCTGCACATGAATCCTAATCTGGTGCAATCTACATATGAATATAAATCTGGTGTTTACATGCTGCAGAGGCTTTCAAACAGCTATAGCAGGTATTTTTTTTCTTAACCACAGGTTTCTCAGTTGCTTTTGGTAATTCCAGAATTACATATATGCTTAATTCAACTTCCAATATTTTTTTATTACATATTAATAAATCAACTTAAACCCCAAACTTATAAACTAAGCACAGTTTGCTTTTACATAAACGGTTGTGAAATTTATTGTTTAGGCATTAAGTCTGAAAATCCTGAACTTGCACTTAAGGTGGAATGGAATGGTCAAGGGAAGGTGAAAGGTAAAATAACAAGATACACAAGTCTGAGTTCATTACCTGCTGACTCACCTGCTCTACTCTCCAGCTAACTGGTTTTTTGGCAGATAGTCAGATTGCTGTAGCTTTCCAAGAAACTTATACATGAACTTGACACAAGGTTCAAGAAAAATATATTTATTTAATTTTGGCAGAGGAAAAACATGTAATAAATATAACAATTTCTTACACTCTTCTTTACAAGTTATTTTTATAATACTTCTGCTACAAATTTCAGGTATTATTTCAAATTTTAAAAGAACACATTCATTGAAAAATGAACATTTAATGTGAAAAATAAACACAGTAAAAGTGCAAATGTTTTAATTTTTTGTAGCTAGTGCTTAATCTTCAAGTCCATTAGAACACTGCAAGATATGTTTTAGATCAGCAATACAGCAAGCATCCAATTACTTCACGCAGCTATTACATTAAGTGAATAATTATGCTAAGTGAATATCACATTAAGTGCATGATTGTCATTTTTCATGGTATAGCATCAGTTTGCTGTTTAAATAACACTGAAAAAGGCTTTTCCAAATTTCTGTAATTATGACAATACAAGCTTTTTTAAAAATCCCAGACTCGTGTCCCCAGTTGCAGCAAAATGGATCTAAGCAGAACCTCTAAACAAAACATCCACCAGGCAAGTACAATTCCCATTCTGACATGTTTATACAGGTCTTTGGAGTGCAGCTGATACTTTCTCAGCAGCAGCAGATGCAAGTACATTGGGATTTTCATTTTCATGAACAGGAGCCGCGGCAACAGTCCCTGAGATTCTCTAGGATGCCTCTAGCTGTGTTTTGACAGCCATCATGTTTTGCTAATTTTCTATGAGCCATTTATTCAAACCAGTTTTCTTTCAATAAAAAGCGGACAGCATCATCAAAGCCATTTTGGTACAATGATTCCATTTTCTCCTGGTCTGGTGGGAACAAAGCTTGATTAAGTCTTACTAGGTTGGCCAGAGACAGCTGCAACAGAGTGAGAAGCTATACATTAGTTTATTAAAGCAACTTATCTAGATGTGACTGTTCTGTCATCTGTTTCATGTAGCATATGGAAAAACAAAAGACCAGCATAGCTGTGTCTACACCAGGAAATTACCCATGTCCAGGTTCACTGCCGAGCGCCAAGACAAACTGGCACAAACGGTTTGCATACGAACTATTAAACTCACAGCTTCCAAGACAGACTGTCTGTCTGTAAAACTGCCCAAAGTTTCTGAAACACTTTAACTTTGGAAACACTCCCAAAACTGTCTGGCAGGGTGGTAGCTGGCACATGCTAAACTTGTGCAAGGAAATATTTTGACAACTTACTAGTGCAAACAGCCACATTCTTGGGAAGATTTCCCAGGCAGTGTTTAACATAGGAGTATAAATGAAGCTTGTATTACCAACAAATTAAGAACTACTCAGCATCTTAAGTGGTCACTCTGATCATGCAAAAAGATTTGGGAACTTTATTCATGAATACAGACTTTTATTAATTTTTTTACAACAGAATAAAAAATATAAATAGATTTAATCATGCTCTGAACAATTACTGTATATAATTAATACATTATCCACATACTTTATTATACACAATTTTGCAAAACAATATCAAAATCACCATTTGAAGTAAGCAATTATTCAAATTCTGACACTAGTAGATGGAAGAGATTCAAAGAGACAGAAAACTATGCACATTCCAATACAGATGAACGAAGATATATAACTCTTCAATTTATGCAGATTACAATATTGCTGAAAAAAATTATTCTTCGTGATGATTTTGACACCTCTAAAAGCTAAAGGTGATTCAAATCAAATAGTTTAAAATGTTGCCTGAGATTCTGCTCAAGTCTGCACTTGCATGACCTCAGAAGCAATATAACTGCAATTAATTTTCTCTCTCTAAACTAATCACCAGCTCCTTTTAGCTCCCCTAGACACACTAGATATGAAATACAAAACACAACCAAAAACTAATACAGGGAGGGATTACATAAATTTTCAAGATATATGAAATCAATAATCTCATATTTCATGATCTTTTACCAAGTACTACCATGCTTAAAATCTTTCTGTGAAACATTATAGATTCAGAAATTGGTCCAATTTAGAATGACATTACATAACATTAATTTTACTCAAATTAAACGAAAAACACATTAAAAACCATCTAAAAAGAAACTTTCAAAAAATTACTAGTTATTATTAATCTCTCTTGTTTCTTTTTAATAGAGTATTGTTTACCAGTAGGTCAATCACTTGTCAGTATTTTCTTTCATCATGTCAAAGGAAGCAAAACTGTGGTCAAAGTGTGAGAGATTAATTAACAAACGAGCAACTTACCATCATATCTTGTTTTGCTAATTTGACATAAAGATCCACACGGCCTTTATCTTGTGGACAGATATCTAATCGACCGCTGAAAGGAGAAATCGTCACAGTTCTTCCAACAGGTAAGATAGGAAGGCCATTGGTAAGGCCACCATCAATCCACTTCTGTTGGGAAACAGAAACATTTTCCAAGTGATACTGGTGCAGTATGATCATAATGGAATACTCTGTATCCTTCCTGATGCTGCCTCCTCCACTCTACTCTCAAAGAAAACTTCCAAGTTTCCTTCTAAGAATACAGTGAGTAAGCTTGAGATGTGGCATAAGTATCTAGGAACCGACAATGTACACAATGTTGAATCAATGAGCATTTGACATAATGTGCAAATATGCATGTAAGATATTTATCCTGCTACTGATAAGGCTTGTAAGTTAATCTAGTAATCAAATGCCCCAGACAGAATTTTTCTCAACATATACATGAAAAGATAAGATTGTTAATATTACACAAGATATATACAGCTGATAATGTATAATGTATACTCCCCTAGAACGTTATTCTGATTGAAACTCGGAGCTGGACAGTCCGTATGTGCAGGTAAACTGAATGCACAAGCTAAACCACACACAACTCCTCTTCTGTGACTGTGATTATTCCAGAGCCTCATGTCTTCTTACATACACTACACAAGACAGCAGTAGCTGGGAAGCAGAGGGTAAAGGTGGGAAGGAGCTGAACAACTATGCCATAAGAAGCAGCAGTCTGAGCAGGAGTTGAGTGTAAGGAAGAAGGAGATCCGGGGCACAAATCTGATCTTCAGAGGGACCACAGCCAAATTGCATACCAGTATAAGCAGGGCATCTGTGACATCTCTTGCCAGTATATTTTATACCTTCATATTTCTTTTTGTGCTTACATGCATAACCCAAAACTCAACACCAGTCTGCTGGCTAGATGCATTCACTGACATCATACATGAGGTCTGGTGATTAGATATACCTCGCTGAACTTTACAAATCTAAAGGCAATTAGTGATTCTACACACTTCTAGCACAAGATTCACGTTATCCTAAAGTAGGTATTAACATCTCATTTTAATTCTGCTGAAAAAGTGCTTTCCCCTCCACTAATTATAAAGGAGACAAACATTAACAAGATGTAGACTACTGTAGACAGACAAAGCCAGGCAAGTTGAAATGCTGTAAGAAATAACAAGATTCACCTCAGTGTATCTTAAGGGTTTGACATCCCCAAAGGTGAAATGAATACTCCATTATATCATCTTCAAGTTACAGTAACACAGTACATTAAAAAGAAATGTCACATTGGTGCTGAAGAGTACTAGTACAATCAGGCTGTAAGTGATGCTCTACATGACCATCACGAAATGGCAAACAAACTCCTGGTAACTGCTGAATTAGTTTCACTCATACTCTAGTACACTGCAAAGACACAAAGTTTTGAAATAGTGTGTAATGAAAACCAAAGCAGACAATGACAGTGAGGATGGGGGTTGGACCTAACAGAATCTACTCATTTACCAGCAGATGCTTTTACAAAGCTGTTCTCTAAGAACTGTAATCACACAAGCTACAGACTCATTATCAGATACAGTCAACGCAATCATCTGCAGATCTTTATCTGGTCTTAAAGATTAACCTTGTCAGAGACTCAAAGGACACCAAACCAAGTCAAAGAAAGATAATTTACCAGGGAGCAAGTTTGCACTGGTGTTACTAGAAGCCTAGCTCAAGGGTACCTAAAAACCCAAACCAGGTAATAAACTAGTTCAATCTGGTTAAGGCCATTAACTGACTGTAAATTCTCAGATGTTACATTTCCTTTTTCATCAGATTGTTTTTAGGCTTGTCAAATCAGAAGAAAACATATTATGAGCAGACTACTGTTACTTCCATCCTACCATGAAATTTAGCTTACTTATTCCAAGAGTCTAGCCTCCAAGGATGCACACTTGCAGGTAATCCCAGTAGACTGAAGCAGATAGCAGGCAGTAATCTCAATTCCATGCTGCCACAGCTTGTGGTGAGAAGCATCTTTAGTATTAGAGGCTTCTTCTCATGGTAAGTTAGGCATTTATTATCTTTAGAAACAGCTTCATGCAACAGAGATCACTTCAGTCTCAGCACCCACAATTTTTGAAACACATGAACAAACTCATGTCATCTTTCACAGTGCTGATCTGCAGCATGAAAAGACACAATAACTGTTCTACAAAATAAAGTACTGTAGCTGCCTTCCCTTAAGATCAAATAGTTACATCATAAATAAAGAACACATAAAAAGAAAGTCGGTAGCTAATAAAAATTACCTGTCCTTTAAATTCCACCGGCTTAATTCCTGCATATACTGGTATAAAACTACTTGCTAGCAGGACCTATAGAAAAGAAAGCAGAAAGAACAGAGAAAAAAAATTAAGAAAAGGCAACAAAGTAACTTTGAACCAATACATATTTCATACATGTTTATCTATATTAAACAATATAGGAGTAATCAGTAACTATATTAGTTTTACATAAACCCACTGTCCTCTCAAAAGTGTCTTCTTGTTGTGGTACATCAAAATTTATTCAAAAAGGTTTGGTTTTTTATGACTCAACAGTTACAACTGTCAAAACAAAATATCAAAAATTAACTCATTGACTAATGTGATTCAAGAGAGTATGAACTTAGTTTTGCACCATGTGAAGCAATTCTATGGTTTTGCAGAAACTAAATATGCATATGCTGAACAAAAGCAATATATTGTCAAAGAAGAAGCTGATCCAAGTCATTTTGTTGGCATATTAATATAGTGGTTACTCTTCTAATAAATCAGATTTTCGAAGTTTCAAAAATACTATAAACACCCTGAAAATTCACATATGTATAGCTTTATCAGTGTAGATACTTTACATTTAGTACATTCCAGTAGCAACAAATTACTGTTTCCCATACTGTAAACCTTTGTTGCTGTTTACAGCAATTCTCAACAGATTTTATTTTTATACCCAGACACCTCTTCTGTCATGTACAGATGTGCACACACCCACACCTTTCTATCCACAGCAATACACCTATGAGTGTGTGTGTATATATCTCTACACCTATGTATCCACCCATATATACGTATTTATATATACTTTTATCTGAATACACATATATGCATATATGCACTCAGTATACAGCATCTCAAAGAGAAGAGATAAATGTGTGGACAAAGTGCAATACACCAGAAATTTTGATACAGCTAAACAGGGTGAATATGCATGTGCTAGGGTGGCAGCATGAAAGCAATCTGGGGAACAGAAGCAGATCACAAACTGGTGTATACACCGTGTGAAACATGGTCAGGTGCAGAAAATCCCATTTGTTACCTTGTTATTATTTAAAAACACTTTGCCTACAAGGTAGAACTTCAATAACAGATGGAGGAAACACGCACAAAATAAATTTCAGCAAAATTAGTGAAACTGTAGGATCAAATTCTGCTTCCATTGTTTATGTTATGGTTGTAGCACCACTGATAGCATAAGTGGTTACCTGAGTAAAAAGTGATTTGTTGTACAGCTAATAACATATTCCTAAGCCTTGAAGAAACTCAAGCATCTTTATTTAAATCAGCAATATTCAACTTCATTACCTTAATGAGGTCCTCCCTGGAGGCGAAATTTGAAACCAAGTGATTTTCCCCACTTTTTGAGTTAGTGACTGACACGTAGAGTCGGTTCTCAGCTACCTCATGAACATCAGAGGGAAGAATAGACTCTATGCCCTCCCTGGAGGAAAGAAAATGCTCAACATTACTGACCATCATTATTTTAAAATCTTTAAAATACATTAGGAGCAAAAGACAAAGTGGTGAGCACCCCATAGTACAGAAGGAATATACACACTGTCCATTTGTATATAGAGAGCTCAACACAAAAATGATCTTATAAAAGCATTAAGATAGGTACCTAAGTGTTTTCATAAAATCATAACCAGGCGTTACAGCACCGAAGTTCAAATTTCTAACTTCCTCTGCAAATCCATAGGCAAAGTGCTTACATTTCTGTAAATTAAAAATATTAACCATTAAGGATGTTTCAGTGATGGGAAGTATGTTCAACTGTGGTACCTAAAACATACTAGAGGCTAAAGTCTTAATCAAGAGAGAGCTGTAAGATCAGACTGAAATACTTCCTCATATGTGCTTGGTTTGCAAAAAGATATGCATAACAAAATGTTGATCCCTTTATAAGGACTAATTTGTAAGAAAACAAGACCCAAAGTTAAAAGAAAAATAATAAAAAAAATGAACTCTCCCAAGTGTACCACTTCCAAAACCAAGGAAAATTAAAGGCTATTTTTCTATATACTACCACTACTAAATAATGAGTTCTCTAAACCATACCATTACAAGAATGACGATTTAGCATTCAAGTCTAAAGCCACCTTTTATTTTCAAGACTACTTCAGTACTAAAACTAGACACAAGTACCTTAAGATGCTTATAAGCATCAAAAAAACTACAATTCTTACAGTTTCTTCTCACTAAATACAAAACCATACTACTAACAAATATACATATCTAATGAATACAATACTATAGAATTATTTAATGAACAGAACATTGTGATGGATAACACAGGAAGAAAAGACACTGCAGAAAAACAGGCAACAGATTCCAGCACAGAGAACCTCTTTTAAACCAGCTGAAACAACAACTGTTAATGACTTCTGAAAAACAGCTTGAAGTGTGAGCCATAAGAACTCCAAAAGGAGAGTAAAGGAATTGGTATCATTTATTTTTTAGTCATAACAGGCTGATACAATGAAGTATGATCCTGAATGCTTAAGACTCACTCTTCAGTATTTGTAATCCTTTTTTTATCCTTTCATGCAGACTTCTCTAGGAACTTGAGGAAAAAAATAAAGTCAATCTCATGCAACTTTCTGAAATTGGCACTCTATAAATATATTATACCCATATTCAACTATATAACTATATGAGTAAAAGATAGTTTGGGTTTTCTGGATTATTAGTTCCCTGCATGAAGAACAAATATGTTGCTAGTAACAAAATATATGACTGGGTGACTGAGAAGTGAGTATGTCCTACTGAGGGGAAAGACACAAGATTTAGGGGATGGAAAAGCAGGAGGGATTTGGGGTGAGGATTAGTATGAGATCAGGAGCAAGCTGACTGAAGCAGCTTAACTTCCTCACATCACTTGTACAACAGAGCACTCCTCTAAGTGAAAGACAGAAATGTAGTTCTTACATCCCATTTTGTTCATATGGCACTGGAATACATCTATTAAAAAAATTCACTAAGAGGTTTGTATCTCTTAAAGAAACAATCACTGTAAATATTTGTGCTAATTTCACATAGGTTAGATTTGCACCTTTACTTGCCATTGCAAGCTCCAAGTCAATTAGAATATATAGAACTAACTATATGCACTAAGTCTTGTATTTATTCTGCATTAGGCAGTTAAGTTTCTGCAGTTAATCTGCTGGAAAGAGGCACATTCAAACACCTTTCTCTTGAAATACAGAAGAAACCTACAAAACCATACATAGAAGCACCTCAGCACTACTACCACTATATTTAAGGGTGCTTTAATAAAGTTACAGGGAACTAAGAATAACAGGGAGCCAGATGAATCCAAACCTGGGTGAATGACAAAAAACTACTTTCCATATTACAAGTGCTAAGAACAGACTATACAGAGACTCTCGATTCCTGCTCCTCAAAGGGGTAACTTCTTACAATTATGAATTGTTTTAGAATTTTAGTGTCAGAAACTTTAAATACCTCTAAATTTTACATAGTGAGGACATCTTTAGAATACTGAGGGCATATTTAGAAATTTTAACTGCTTGTATTATGTTAAGAAAACTTGTATCAAACATGATCAAGGTACAAGGTAAAATCAGTATTTATCTGTAACTATATAAGACTCCCTAGGATTGTCAAGTCCCATGCCTTTTCAAGAGGTGACAAAAATCCAAGATATGACAGAAAAGCATTTGCAAACTGTCACATTAGAACAGCAACAGTCAAAATAAGAAATCTTCAAAGCTACATTCTCTCCAAGATAAGGACAGGTTATATTAGAGCTTTGAGATTAGGAGATGGAGAAAGTCCTAATTATGGCTTGTCTAACAACACCATCTCTGGGGAAAGAGGAAAAAATCTCCAAAAAACTAATTAACTGATTATGAGCTATATTTGTGGATACAAAATATTTCAAGCTAGAACTGTAGTAAAGATAATAAAGTAATTATCCTGATATGAAAAGTTGATGCTATTCAGTACACAACACTGCCTTTACTTAAATTCCATGAGAATTAAGAAGAAATATTCCCGCTGACAAAATTTCTCTCAATTTTCCACTTAAACTGTATAACAGAATAACTAAAAGTACATCAAAATTACAAGGACTAAAATGTTCATGAAATGTTCTTCAGTTTGTAATAAAATGGCATATTTTCAAGGAAAAATCCATTAGACTCAATGTAACATAGGCTTAGTTTCCACAAACAAAAACTAAAAAACTGTTCTAATATTTTTACTTAGATTTTTATAAGTTGGACCAGGCTGAGAACAAGTGCTCATAGCCAGAGACAACAATAAGCAGAAAAATTTCTTTGGGCTAACAAAGAGCTAAGCCGCTGTGCTCACCACAGAGGAAATTAAAGTCAGAGGTACATATTATACCAGGTGAACTTGAAACTGAACCACCAGTCAGAGGCCACAGAATAGGAGCAACATCTGAACAGGATACAAGTAAAGTTCTCTTCACAAGAATAGCACTTACCTAATACCAAATAATATAAAGAGTGCACCTGTGGTAGTGGGGTGGGGAAAGAAGCCAGGGAAGAAACTACTGCTGAAAGCAACACAAGTATAGCTAATACTGCAAGCTAAGTTCAGCCCAGCAGACTCAATAAAAAGCCAGAAAGATCAGTGGCACAATGTGGTTTGGCTGAGACTATTATTTGAATCAAATGTAATGAAATAAGGCCTGGTCAAAGTTGTGTAACACTCACTGGACCGAAATATAAGTGTACTTGGACCAAAAAAATCTACCAGCCTTTTTTCTCCAACAATAATGAAAAATATTAAAAAAATACTAACATTTTGGCAAGGCCTTGTCCTCTACATATATTAAGGCAAAGTGACTACAGGCACTTCAGAAGGGCAAAGGACCCTTAACCTCTCGGGAAAATCAAACAAACAAAAACCAAAGGAAAGTTAATTCTCACAGAACCTGTAAGAGTGTAGTCATTGAATATAACTTCAGAGCCTCTACACGACACCATATCTGTGGTGAGAATGGAGTGGCTTTTCTGGAGGAAAAACAACCCAGACACATATATGTCAGAATAGAATGCTGTGAGGGTTAATCCTCCCAGGCACACAGAGAGGGCTACTGCTGCTGTGAGCTGTAGTGAGTCAAAAGGAAATGCACAAGCCATTTCTTACACTTCTAATGAAGTACAGGCAGCAAGGAAAAAATTTGAGCAGGTGTGTGGTGTTTATGAAGACACACTCCATCTACCATTTTCACGTCCTTTCACAAAAGGATGAAAGGATGGTGCTAGGCATTTATTTAACAAAGCCTATTGCTAGCCAAAAAAACAATCATTCACTTTGTAATGTACCATCATTGAGTGTATATACATTTTCATATATTAAAGTATATCTGGTTGCTTATAGCACAACGTTCACACGAGATTTTTATTTATATAGCTTAAAATATAAAGTTCACAGGAAATATCTTTGTCATAAAGAAATACTTGCTTCATAAACATTTTAGTCCATGAGTCACAGATGTGGTTAATGAAAATCCGTAAGAGTACTGTTCCTAGCAAGTAGCAGGAAGAAAAAACCAAGAAACAAAATATTTTAATAAACTTAATGGAAGGTAATTATATCAAAAAAAGTCCTTTTAAAATTATCATGGCCTATACCTACGAGTTTATTAATTTACCTCTATATTTTCTGGCACTGCTAATAAGACAACGGCAGCCAGTGATCCCGCAGAAGCTCCCGCAAAAGCTTTCACATCTCTCAGTAACTTCTTACCATGCCTGTAAAAAGCAGCTGCTGCCCCCAAGTGGTAAATGCCCAGAAAGCCACAAGCTGCAAAGGACAGGTTGATGTGTTTCATTTTTGCTGTAGAAATCAAATGTCACAGTCAGAAACAGGATCGGTTAATTTTGTCTTACAATATACCTCTATTCTTCTGGAACAGACCGTATAATATAATGTATCTACATAACAAAACCCAGTTTAAGAACAGTAAAAGCTTTTGATTACAAAATACAACAAATAAGCAGCAATTAGTAAGAAAACAACTCTAAAATAATCCTTAGCATAAATCCCTTTCCTAAATCAAAGATATTAGGAATAAATACTTTGCTGTGAGGATGGTGAGGCACTGGAACAGGTTGCCCAGATAGGCTGCAGATGTCTCATCTGTGGCAGTGTTCAAGGCCAGGCTGGATTGGGCTCTGAGCAGCCTGGTCCTAGTGAAAGGTGTCCCTGCCCATGGCAGGGGGTTGGAACCAGATGATCTTTAAGGTCCCTTCCAACCCAAACCATTCTATGATTCTATGATTATACACCCCTTACACATGCAGAGCCTTGAATCCAATATCATCCAATCTAACTCTTTCAGAAAGGAATTTTTTTCTAGCATTTGCTTGCCAGTATTATTAATAGACAAACTCTTATTTAAAGTAATTATTAATTTCAAAAAGGAAAACACAGTTGCTACTATTAAAATAAGAAGGAATAAAAAAATCAACATAAAATACAAAACATTAACTGTATGAAAACACTCTGAAGGTGTCAAGGGTAGGATTTAAAATCAACAAAAAACTTCACAAACAGCATAAGTTCAGATCATTAGGGATGGCTTATTAAATACATAAAATATAATGCTGTACATTTTATTAGCTCTTCTGTTTCTGCAAATAACTACAATTATGAGAGCAAAGCATTCCACAGATCATATTGTACAGAAATAAGAGATAGTATACACATTATCTTAGTACTGAATTAAAAATAAACTCCTACTATATTTGAGTACATCTCAATGTGATTGGGAATAAAAGACAGACACTTGTATCAGTCCTGATGAGAGTACATGTACAGCAACATATTTTGGTTAAAGATGCCTCTTCAGCTGGGAAATGGGAAGAGCAGGAAAGATGAGGATAATAAACAGCTATCAAAACCACTAGATAAGAAGACATGCTAAACTCACCTTCTATACTCATAGCATGATTAAGATCAGACCTAATGATCTGACCAGGTTTGCTATTTCACTGAGACAGTGAGCGGGTAAAAGAGAAAGGGAGGGAGGGAGCACATCCATCTCACAGTGCCAGGGAATATTTGGTGCATCAGTCATTCTACCAAAACACCACACTATCATAAGGTAGCTTATCACCTGCACTTTACCTGCCTTGCCCTGGGAACACTTGCACATCCACTTGTAATTAGGCATACCTGTAACAAATCTAACACATTTGTACTCATAGAAAGTATTTGAGATTGGCTCTTGCTGTGACAGTACAAGAGAAAGGCATTTGCAGTGAAGCGAATGATAAATTGTGTTACTATTTTTAAAAAGAAAGGATCTTTTACTTTAAAGAAAAGTCACTGTACTGAACAGATTAAAGAAAATGTTTACTCAGGATTTTACTGGAAAACAACAAACAACTCTACTTCGAAGATACTTTCTTTTTCAGTAGAGTGGAAGAAAACTAAAACAGACTTTGAAGTATGATGTCATGCTGGGCTTCCTTTCAGGCTAATTAAACTCTCAGGAGTTTGACCAACTGCTGCAGCTGTCTCCATGCCTTCTACAAACCAGGAGAAAAGATGCATTTGCATCACAGGGCACTCTGACAAAAAGGTGAAGTTGGTTAAAGCAACTGCATTATTAAGTAGGAAGAAAAACAAGCATGAAGAATCAACTACCATTTCTGCTCAAAACAGATCTCAGGCTCAAGACACCACTAATATGAAACATTATATGAAATAAGGACGATGTTTACATAGTTGACTGGTCAGAAAATATGCAAAGTATGAGTTCACAAATCCCAAGAATTACATCTAAGGGACCTATTAAGTGTAACTAAGAAACACAAATGTAAGATAATAAGGTTATGTAAATAAAAAGAAGCATATGGAGACTTATGTACATATATATACACACATCTAAACCTTCTACAAGGTTCATACTCCAGAAGGTATCTCTTCCTGCTGGAAAAAACAAACATGTTTCACAAACAAACAAACAGAAAAGGTAAGAACTAAAAAGAGTATCTAAAGCATAGTTATGGCAAGAAATTTTAGATTTAAAGACTTTTACAAAATGAAAAAATCCCCCACAAATGTGAAAAACAATCACACATCATTGTATAAAGAACTGGCTGGTAAAGCAAGAGCAGAAAAGGAACCCATGTGAACTGAAGAAACAATTTGCATCTCAGAACAAAAACTTCTGAAAATATACTGACTAAAATCAGATATCTATGCCTGACTCTTACATGGGTTCATGAGGAAATTTTAGTTTCATATGTGAGCTTTAGTCCTATCTAATTATCAGTTACTGTGAGCAACCACTGTTCATTTTGAGTGTCTGGATACATGGCATTCACGCTTTGATCAGCTAATTTCTTACCACTTAGATCCCATAATTCTCTGCCTCCTTCATTCCCTTACCCAAGAGACAGAAAGAGATTACTGGATGAGTATTGACATCAGTTACCTGACTAGCAAAAGGATACAGTGAGAGATGAATACACAAGAAGAAGAAAAAGCACTAAGATTTCAAGCTAAGGAATGCTCTTAAAGAATGCTACTAGTCTCATGCTCTGAAGAGCAGACTGATTTCAAGCCCAAGAAGATGAAAATAATGCAACCTAAAAAGCAGGTAACTTGTTATTTTTACTTTTTTTGGTGAAGAGAAATACTTGACCTGTTGGATTTGTACAGCACTGTTTTACAGACTCCCCAAGTGAACTTCAAATTAAAAGTAACACTAGCATGGCTGTGTCATCAGGGCACTACACTTCTATTCATTAGTATCAGTTCCCAGGTATACATTATGTATTTGTCATATACACATGAAATTTAAAAATACTTCGGTACAAATGTTAATTGGCAGATGACATTCATGTTCAAATGACAGATCCACTGGTTACATCTAGCTGCATGACTGAGAAATGGGGTTTGCAATTACAACCATCAGCCCTGTAAGTGGGCAAATAATGAGAAAAAAATCATTGAATCATAGAATCATTCAGTTAGTCTCTTGCTCAACCTTATTATGCTCAAAACAGAGTCACCTATCAGCTATCATATCAATCTGGATTGCTCAGGGCTTTATCTAGCTGTTAATTTGAAAATCTTGTAATGTTTAGCTTGTGATAGCTAGTATTTTTCTGTTGCTGGATGAAACTATCATGTTTTAATTTGTTCAGAATATTAAAATCAGTACAGTATTGCAAATACTCAGCATAATAGAGCAGAAACACCTTCATCCAGCACTGTGCATCTACCTGCAGGGATGTCCTGTAGGTGGAACTGAAGGCCTCTTCAACAAATTTGTAACAAAGCACTTAACCTACAAAGGACACAGATGACAAAGATGATAGAGATGAAAAAGAATCATGGTTCTATAAGAAATTCCCTGCTTGACAGATGCAGCTAAGCAATATTGTTCCAGCTTGCAAACAGATCTCTGAGCAAGAGGAAAAGATAAGACAGCATTCATTAGATGAATGTCCTGTAAAGTCAGAAAGAAAAAGGAAACAAGACACTCACTTTTATAAGAATATAAACTTTCCCATTTCTTTTGATTCTTGCAAATACGTCATGGCATCACTTGATTTGCAAGTTATAATGGTGTATTTCAGAGACAGTATGATTCAAAAATGCCTTTTGTTTTGACGATCTGATAGATCACTGCCCTTTTGATCAAAATAAAAAGAAAAAAAGTAGGATTATAACTCCAAAGAGGAAACAGAGAGAAATTTAATTAAGTCTACAGTATGACTATTCCCTGACAATTTCTTATACAGTAACAGAAATAGGAGACATCACATCTGGGCACAGACCACTTCTTTCAGCTGCCTGAGCAAAGAGCAGAAGTCTTGCTATCTTAGAAATAGTATGAAACGCTTGTTACACAAGACTTCAGAACAAATATTCTTAGAGGGTTCAATGTAAATTGTAACCATTAAAGACATTACCTATTAACAAAAAGTTATCATATTGGCATACCTTAAGAAAAAAATTTCAATGCACCTTAAAAGATGCAGAAGTACACTTCAGCTGGACAGTGAACATACTGTAGAGATAGGACATAAACAGGACATAGCAAATTCTTTTGCCATTGCTTTTCAAAAATGTTGCCATCTTACATGATTGTCAAAATTCAAAATATAAAGTTTTTAATTGGCTAAGGGGATAGAACATTTGTGTTGCCCACAAGAAAAAACCCAGAATCGTTAATAAAAAATATGCACAAGAATAACCAAGAATATTGGAGCTGTTCAATCTCATTACTTTACAGATAACGTACAAGTATTCAGGAATAAATACTCAGTGGTATGTCATCCATTTGTAATGCAAACTTTCAAGGGAATGTATGTAAGGAGTCAAGGCTGTACAGCAGAATTATGGTACAGCTTTTTCAGGACAGGTACTCTCTTCCTGATTGTCATGCACAAGAAATAGCACAACAGTTTCCCATGTGGATGTCTCCTGAGCAATATAATTACATAACACTGTAGGATGTCAGTGTCTTAACCTGTCATAACTACTTCCCTCTCATCCCATTTGTAAACAAAAGCTGAAAATGCCCAAAGCAACTGAGTAAAAAAACCTTTACAAACAAAAACTAAATATACATAGAATGCAAATGACCAAACACCCTGAAGCACAGGAGCTGAAATGTGTGTTGCATAACAGCACATCTGAGGATTAGTTATTAGTGAAGAATGACAAAACAAGCAAAGTCATGGCAAGAATTGTATAGCTGGGCAGCGTTGCTAAAATACAGGTCATAATTGTAACTAATAATTTACCACAACCACAAATCACCACTCAACTGGCACAGCAATGTTTAACTTTTTTCATATTTAAAACAGGAAAGAAAAGTTCACAAGGATCACAAACCATTCACAGCCTTCAGTGAATATAAGAGTTGGATGAAGTTGAAGGAAAAAACCAAACTAGCACAAAATAATAAATACACAATCTAACCAGTCATTAAGAAACTTATGAAAATGAGTCTTTGCAAACCATAAAAATTGTGTATAATCCCCTTAAAGTTAAAAAAATAGACACATCACATGATACAAAAATTTCAAATTACAATTTTAGACCTTCTTGATCCTTACTACGAGATGTCTACAGAGGGCAGGGAAGGCTGACTTCTTATGAAGAGGCTGGCAAAATGTTCAATACCTTCTAATGAATGTTGGCTTCCATCACACACTCCATTGGGACTTTTTCCAACAGTTGTGTTAGTTCCCTCTGCAGTAGTAGCCATTCTTCTATCAATTACTGATTGTTTATCATTTACCTTGGAAACCTACAACAGTACAGTCAAATATTACTACTAAAAAGAGAAACAACAGCAAATATATGATATTATTAAAAACAGATTAATAAAGTCAATTAGAAGTTGTGAAATCATCTTGACTGATTTCTCAATTGCTTAGCCCCTACTAAACTAGTTCAAACCACAATCTTCCACTATTTATACATGCAGCAATTTATATTTTACAGATGAACTTAATTAGACATTGAAAAACATTGATATCTGAACAGTCCAAAGTTAGCCTTAATTTTGTGCCATTTCCCCACAATTTTTCTTTATATTTACAGGTCTTTTTATTGTCAAACTCATGTTTTTATCCTCCCTTACCAATTCATTTCATTGCACAACATTGCATCAGTAAACTGTTTTCCTTAGAACTTTGGTCTTATTCTTCACTAGATGACTGTCATTCTAACTAATCAGTCTATCAATTACCATGTAGTATTGCCTAAAGTATAACTTGAAAAAAAACTTAGAACTATCAGACACAAAATGTTCATTCCAAAACCCTGGTTCTCCTGCAACTTGCTGCTGCCTGCCCCTTTGCCTTGATAAACTCATCTTCCATTCACAAATAACACAAGAGCAAAAGCTCAGCTCTGTAGATTCTGAAATAAATTATATCATCACTGTATTGATTCACATCACATATATCGAGGGCACTTACCTGGAATTTAACTCTGTTACGTGGTGCTCTTACAGTGCAATAGTTTGGAATTCCAACCCAGAACTGCTGAGTTTTGGGAAACATGCAACTACACCATCTGCCTTCTTTCAACTGAAGCAACAGTATTTGAGCACTACAAAGACTTCTAGAAGTCCACATTTTCCTAGAAGTGACCTCTGGATCCAGATGATGTGATACTCTCAGAAGCTGTTTTACCAGGAAGTTACATAGGAAGCATTAATAGGTGAGCTTGGACAGCACAGGAGGACACAGCAGAAACTTCCTTCTAAGCATAATCTGTTTAAATGACATTAAGGAAAAGAAAAGGAGAAAAAAAAGGTAGTTGAAAGGTAAGCTGCACATCAAGGCCCTGACACTGTAACAAGGCCCTTTTCACACCCCTCACACTTAAAACACAGATACATTAACAGCTGATTCACTTGACAGCGAAATAGTTATGGGTGTTCATAGCTCCTCACTCTACCCCTCACCAGCCTCCACCTGGCACCTTACTGTTCAGCACTGATCTTAACGTCAGTCTCTCATTTTGAAACAGGAAGGACTAAAATTGTTAATCACACAAAAAGCAAATGAAAAACTGTCCCTTGTGACCCATGACATGAATACATTTCAGGTTCCTTCTACCTCAGCTGTAAAACGTGGAAGGATTGATCCAGCAACTTCAAACAAATTATTCACGAAGTGCTGATGGGAAGATCCTAGTAAGAGAAACTCTGTCAAGCTGCCTGGTGCAAGGCAGGTCTTGGAGTCTTTTATGGCACAAGGACATGGTAGGAGTGACTCAGAAATCCAGTGTAAGTCTGGTTTACACCTAGTAAGACTCTGACCACAAGGAGCAACATATGGCACTCGTTCAGACGGAAACCAGCTTCCTGCGCAGTGCCCACAAACCGGCTGTGACCGTGCTGTGGCCGCAGGCCAATACGGCCAACCTCCAACCGAAACCCAACCAAACGAGCTACAGGTTTGCTATTTCACCTCGCGTGCCACGAGATCAGGCCTAAAATGCAACTGGATTTTTACTGCCTCCACTTGTGCTCAGATACAAACGAGCAAAACACAGCCGAACCTCAGAGTCGAGGGACAAGCACGGGGCACACATGAGCAGGCACACTGTGCCTGGGAAACCTCGAGACTTACAGCTGGCGGGCAGCTCCTCCGCGGGCACGGCCCTTCGGGGCTCGGTAACCCCGACCCCTCGAACCACTCCTGGCTCCCCTCCCGCCAGCTCCGGCCTCAGCCCCAACCGTGCGCTAACGCGGCCTAG